TTGAATTTATATATCCTAAACACTAGTTCTTAGTGGATATGTGGTTTACAAATGTTTTGTTGCAGTCTAGAGTTTGTCTTTCCATCTTTTTATAGGCTATTTAACAAAGTAAAAGAATTAAATAGTTTTAAATTTTGATAAGATATAATATGTAACATTCTAAGCTTAGTTTTTTTACTAAAGGTAGTGTGCTGGAGTCAGCTTACATCAGCCCTTGAGAATTGATTATCAAGTATTCAGGGATTTTGCAAACAGATTGCTAAGGGCAGCTTAAATTTGACCACTTGAGAGTATTTACACTGCAAAAATGAACAAATGGTACAAATTAGGGCTTTTGCTCATGCTTCTTCCAACACTACTTGTCCTCAAAATGTATAACAGTCCAAAAAAATAGAATAATTTATATTATAGCTTTTTAATTTTTAGAATTATCTTAATTTTAGATGAACCTGTTTTAAAAATTTATTTATTTAACCTTATTAAGTAAATTAGGAAACTCAAATTTGTATTCACTTTACCCATAATTTATATAGAGAAAAATAAGCCTAACTGGATTTTTTTTTAACAAGAAATAGACACACCTATTCTGAGGGCAGTACAAGTAGTAAAACAAATGATGATAAAATTGACTCAGAAGAAATAAAGATGAAATGAGTTTGTATTGGTTTTACTCAAGTGAATTTAATTTCATAGCCATTGTGAACAGCTAAACTATAGTATTTCAACCCTTTGGAAATGTTTTGGCAAATGAAGCAATGAAAACACTAACCTTTGGCCAGACGCGGTGGCTCAGCCTGTAATCCCAGCACTTTGGGAGGCCGAGGCAGGCGGACCACGAGGTCAGGAGATCAAGACCATCCTGGATAACATGATGAAACCCCGTCTGTACTAAAAATACAAACAAACAAAAAAAGTAGCCAGGCGTGGTGGTGGGCGCCTGTAGTCCCAGCTACTCAGGAGGCTGAGGCGGGAGAATGGGGTGAACCCGGGAGGCGGAGCTTGCAGTGAGCCGAGATCACGCCGCTGCACTCCAGCCTAGAGACAGCAAGACTCCGTCTCAAAAAAAAAAAAAAAAAAAAAAGTTTAAAAGTTTTCACATAAGTGTATTAGTGCTTTGTGGGCTTCTTGTTAAATGTCACTACAGGTTGCTCAGATTAGTATAAGCATATACATTTGCTGAGACATCAGTGAAAGATTGGATCAAAGATGTTTACTTGGAAGTATTGGGTGAAGTTTTGGCAAAGATGGTTGCTCAGCTATCACTTTCTAGTAATACCATAACATGCTGACATGTGGTATAAAATATTAATTCATAGAATAAGTGAAGCTGCTGAAACATCTTCCACTGTCACTTGACTAGTGCTTGTGTAATTTACACATGGTGATGTAAATATGAAGATTTATTTTTTCCTCTTTGGCAACAAATGTGATTAACTCTGAGCTACCTAAAATTCTGAAAGATTACATTGTAAGCAAATATGGTCTTAAACTGAAGTTTTGCATAGTTATATATTTTATACTGAACCTATGATGACAAGAAAACATGCTGGTTGCCTAGATGAAAGAACTCGTACTAGAATATAAGTCACTATTTCCTTCATGGAGAAAGTCTCACTATGGAAAAGAAAAGCAGTTGAACTAAAGTGTTCTTAATGACATTAAAAACTGAATTACATAAGGTTACAACATTACTTCTTGAATACTATCATCTTTATTATGTAATATTATGGATGCTGATCTGAACACTAGTTACTGCCTTTTCTAGTTTTTAAGTAGAACTACTCTGTTAAATATTTCAACTACCACACAAATGTCCTGTTATGGCAAGTTTTGAAACCAGTTTGACCTCAGACTTTTAAGGATATGAATGAACCATGCTTATTTACTTGTTTGAGATCTTCGGTATTTTTTTAAAGATTTTAATACTTCCATTCAAGGAAAGAATATAGAATGTTTTTCATGAACTAATGACAAAAATAAAAGTTAAATGCTTGGATGAACAGTTTCTACAAGTTCTTATGACATGTGTAAATGATTCAACAATTAGAAATAAGTGGTGGTGGTAATTTTGGTATTAAACATCTGTGAAAAGTTAGCAGCAAAACCTTACACATTTGTTTCCAATTTAAATTTTATTTTCCATCAAAAGAATACTTATACATCAAAACTTTATAGAACCAGAATATATGTCTTTCATCAGATGTAATATGTTAACTGTAATTTTATACCACTTTTTTTTAGAACTGAATACTAATGAGGATTGAAGATTAATTTTGAAAATTCAGTATCACTTTCTTAATATCATCTAACAGTTAAAATAGAATATCCCGAGCTTGCTGAAACTGCTTTAACATGTATTTTCTAAATTTAACATAAATATTTCCTGTGAGATTTGCTTTTCAAACATGAGCATTATTTAAGCAAAACAACACAAAAAGAGTTTAAATATATAGACTCTTCTGGAGGCAGCATTGATACCAATAAATTAGATGAGTTAATAATCAAGGAGTACACTAAATCTTTTAACAGCTACAAGAACATGTTCTTTCAAAATACTCATGTAGGTGTTTCATATGTAAAACTGCTATTTTACTCAATATTTATAATTGCAGAAAAGCAAAAATTATGAATGTAATAACTAGGTATATTGATCACCTGTATGCATACTTTCTATAAATAAGTTCAGTTTTCTCACTTTTTTCTTTCCCTGTATTTGTACTTACTGAATTTATTGAAATTGACTTTATATCTGAATGTGATAAAAAAATTTTAGTCTTATACTTTCTTTGACTTTTTATTGTTTCATTTTCTATTGATCCATTTTATTGTCTTTTATATAAATATTGGCCTTTGAAGGCTTGAAAGTTTTTGAAAAAATGGTCCTTAAACACAAATGGTTTAAGAATTTCAATAGAGAGTTTGACGATTATATGGCCATAGGTGGAACCATGGAGAAACAAGGAAAGAGCAAAATTCTTCAGCCTCATGACTGGGAAAATGAAGCTTCATGGCCCGAAATAGGGAAGAGGAGCTGGCCTGTCGGGAGAGATGCTTGTTTGAGTTTTAGATCTCTAGATTGTAAGATGATGGCAGAAAATTCAGATACAGGGTCTAGCAGGAGACTGGAGCCCTGGAACTGGAGCTGAGGTCATAGAAAAGATAAGACCAGGATCATTTTCCTGAAGTCATAGTTGAATCATAGAAATTGTAAGATTCAAAGAAAAGAATGATGTCCTGTGAGATCTGAGCAGCTATATTTTTTCACTCAGTGGCTTTAAATAAAATTGATTTACACCTCCTATCAAGGTTGTTATTCTCCCAACTAACGTAAATTTTCCTATTTGTAACAAGAGAAAGTAACAGAGCAATGATGATGATGATGATGATGATGATGATGGTAACAATAAGAATAATAAAATAATGATGATATCATTGTAAAGCTATAGTAATAATAAAAACAAGTCGTTATGTACTCCTTATGTACCAAGGGCAGTTTATTTCACACAAGAAAGTTAAGGCACAGAGGGGTTAAGTTTAGTGACTTGCTGGAGGTCACTTAATATGTGGTGGAGTTGAGGTTTGAATTCAGACTGTTTGGATTTAGAGCTTGTTTTTTTAACCATTGACTGCTAACCATTAAAGAAGCTGAAGTAAATCTTTCTCAGAGTCATCAACAAAAAGCTACACAATATCTTGGAAGTATGTGTGGCTTTCAGGGAAAAAACAAAGCCATTTTTTAATAATCCACTTATTTTTCTGAAAGGTTGCTCTAAGGGGTCTAAACCGATTCTTCTCAAACTGCATTGTGCCCTGCAGATCAAGTTCCCTGCGGATCTTGCTAGAATGCAGAATCCGACCCAGTAGGTCTGAGGTGAGAGCTGTAATTCTGCATTGGTAACAGCTCCCAATGCTGGCCCTTACCCACACTCTGAAGAACAAGGGTCTGCAAAGTCAGGAGGCAGATTAAGGTATGAGGAACCTGTCCTAGTGGTTAGAGGTAAACTATGTTCGGCACTTTTATCTAGAGGAGTCAGGCTCTTGTTCAATGTCCTTAAATTGTTGAAACTACTATTAATTCATTATTACATCTAGGCAGAATACTTTCTTAAAGAAGAGACTAATATTTTTAAGAAGATATGGGTCTGTACTTTTTTGAAAATCTCTTATAATCACCTCTACCTGTCCCCTTTTTTTCTGGTTCCATTTGGGTTTGACAACATAAGGTTGTGGTTAGAAGCAGGATAGTTTGAGTTTGAATGTCAGTCCTTCTTCGTGAACTACAAAATTACATAGTTTACTTACCTTGTGTGAGTTTAGTTCCCCCATTTGTAGTATAGGGGTGATAATGGTATTAGGGTTATAAGACTGTGGAGAGGATCAATTGAGACAAGGCACATAAAACATGCTATGGTACTTGGCATGGTACATGTGTTCCCTGAACCTGGGCTAATTATTGTTACAGCTCTATCTCTGCCCATGTGCTGTGTCCTAGTGTCACACTGCCTGTTCCTGTAATGGAACACCTGTGTTCTCATCTGGAACCTCGGATGATTATTTCCATTCTCAGCTCACACCCAGAGCCCCCTCCAAACGTCCTCGCTTTCACGTTTGTATTCATGTTTGTCTTTCAGCCGGCACAGGATTTTCACACAATAGTGAAGACATTTATAAATCAGGGGTTTCTAGACTTTGCATGTTTGTTTTCCTACTAAAATAGAATAATTGTGAGCTTTATATTTTGAAGAGAGGAAAAGAAAGGATACAATTTTCTTTGATTTTTTTTTTGTATTCTGTGGTAATACAGGATTGTTCCTTTCAATCTCTCTTTTGAAGAGAAGATGTCATTTTTGTTTTTGTTATTTTGTGTAAAGCAGAGATATAGACTAAATAATGAAATAGTGTTGGGCTATAATAGACAGACAATATTAACACAAATGTCTGTATTTTAGAAGCTGCTTTACTTTTTGAAACGGGAAAAACCTGAAACTCTTTCTTTCCAGCTCCAGAGAGAGCCATCCTGATGGAACCTACTGACCAGGAGGACACAAAAGAAAAGAGGGAAGAGATGAAAGAAGGTGAGGGTCTCTATTGCCAGCAGAACTGGACTGTGTGTTTAACTGGAAAGGTGATGGAGAATGTAGTTATGCACGGCTCTCTGGACCCCTTCTAGTGAAATAAAGAACTAGTTAAATAAGGCAAGACAGAAGAATGAGGCTGCCATCTAGAGGTAGTAACAGGTAATGTTCCAGGGCACAAGGGAGCCAAAGGCAGAGAGCTTCACTTTTTAATCTGTGCAGTCTTCATGCATAATAATGATCTCATTCCTCTGTATTAGTCAAAATCTTCCCATTATAAATGACGAATTATAACCAGATTAAACCAAAAAGTAAAATAATTTATTGACTGATTGATACGGTTTGTATTTGTGTCCCCGCCCAAATCTCATGTAGAATTGTATTCCCCAGTGTTGGAGGTGGGTCCTGGTGGGAGGTGATGGGATCATGTGGGCGGTTTCTTATGGTGTAACGCAATCCACCTTGGTGCTGTCGTCGCGATGGTGAGTCCTCATGAGATCTGGTTGTTTCAAAGTGTGTAGCACCTCACCTCTCTCTCCGTCTTGCTCCTGCTCCCAGGTGAGGCACCTCTCTCCCCCTTTGCTTTCCACCATGATTGGAAGCTTCCTGAGGCCTTCCCAGAAGCAGAAGCCCCTGTGCTTCCTGCACAGCCTGCAGAATCATGAGCCAATTAAACTTCTTTTCTTTGTAAATTATGCAGTCTCAGGTTTTCTTTTATAGCAGTGAAAGAACGGAGTAATACAATGATGTAATTGGAGTAGGATGAGATGGAGTGAGCATTAGGTATGCTGGAACTAGGGGATCAAATGATATCAACTCACTCTCTCCTGCTCAAAAGCATACCTACTCCCCAAAAATGCTTGGCTCTCCTTCTTCTTCCTTTTATTAACATGTGGTCACTATTCTATCATGGGCTTTACCCAGGAAATGAGTTAAAAGGCCACAGTTATGTGTATATGTGTGTGTGTGTTGGGGGGTGGGGAGGGGGTGGAGGTCTTAGTTTACCTCTTCTACTCCAATACCTATCCACTGATGACTTCTAAACTTTTCGTCAGCCCCATCCTAATTCTGATTTCCAGATCTAGATATTTAGAGGGCAATTTGGCCTAGATGTCTAATAAGTCATTCAACTACAAAGCAGTCAAAATAGAAGGTGCTACTCTTCTTATGTTTTTATCCTTAGTTATTTGTGTTTCTCTTCCATGTTGATGGTGATACTATCTTTAAATTCCCCTTGGATCTTCATCAGAGATCAGAATTTATAAGTTGATTGATAAATATTCATTAAAAAATGTATGTTGAACATGCAAAGTGGAGATGCATCATGTGTACATAATTTTGTTGTGAGGATTAAATGAAACAACATAGGAAAAACATTCAGTAAAATGCTTGACACACATAATTTCATAACCAATGAATGAAGAGGATACAAAAGATATTTTTAAGCTTGTGTCTTTTATCCTATAGTTTCTCAAGTGAATTCGTAACATGAAAGAATATATTTTTCACACCCAGGGAAAGTCACCTTACCACCAGAATATCATTTAGTACACTTCAGGTTGTGCCTTGAAGTGTTTGTTTGCATTTGTTAATATAAATGAGAGAAGAGCAGAGAGCTTCTCCCACTTCAGGTAAGCCCGTAAATGGAGCTGTCCCTAGTGCATCTCAGGGCATTGTTAGATACATATTTCACTTTAGCCTGGAATCCGTTTGAAATGAGTTGAGTGTGTGAAAAGCATGGTCATATATATATAACTATATATGTATATATATAAAACGATATATATATATGGCAATAAACCAATTGTTAATAATGTAAAATGTAGTGAGTGATATTACACACCCATCTCTATAAAAGGCATTTTCTCAAACATGCTCTTTAGTGTTTGCTGGACTCCCATACATTAGGCGTAAAAAATGGCATTGAAGGTAGAGAAGGGGGTACTCAAGGAATGGCAGTCACATATGTGGCAGGAGGAAGTGAACCTAAGCCTCAGTGCTGCATGTCCATCCCTCAGCTCACTGCACCTCAGTGCCACACTTAGCCCTGAGAAAACCTACTCTGCCCACGGACATTCACTGGGGTAGCATCCTTTACAGTTTTCAAGAACAGACATTATTTTCTGTTAGGGGGAGAGCATTTCCTTCATAAGTAAAATTTATCCACCAGTACTGATCCTAGAGGTGTTGAGTGCCTTGAAAGCTCTCTGTGTCATGAACTCTTAGACTAGAAATGAATCTTAAATTAGAATGGCACAAATGTGTATCACAAGCATATAAACACACTCAAGCATACCACGCCTGACATTTAAAATGTCTGGACTAAGAAAATGTGAGGCCAAAAGTTTGGATAAATAAACTAGGTGGACATAGAAGCCCTGTAGGACAATGACATGAATGTTGTCAAGAAAGGCTGTATGTGTTAGAGGCCAAAAGGCCTGGATTACTTATGGGGATATAACCAGTGTCTAGACAGCAGAGATGAGGTATCGTTAGCGATTCACCTGGCATGTGCCTTAACATTGCTTTTCCAGCAGGGCAGATAAATGATGGCCTGAAAGCTGCCTCAGAAAATCAAGATGATTCCAGTCTGTTCTCCACAACCCTGGAGAAGAATGGGCATCCCCTATTCTCACTATTCCAATGTCAAGAGTGTCCTTGGGGGAAACACCCGAGTCAGCAGGGGCAAGGAGGCGCAAGTAGCATTTGGTAAACAGCACAAAAGGTCTGTAGGATACAGTGGAAATATTCATGAGAGAAGAGAGCCATGGAAAGAAGGGCTGGGGATAAGAAGCACAAAATTGTAAGAGAATGTGATATGACTTAGACAAGGCTGCTTGCCAAAACTCTGCACAGGCAGCGGTCAAGCTGGTCTTCTAGTCTCCTTGGACAAAAAGGCTCTGTTGTCCTGATTATGAGCTCTCTAATAGAGTATATAGATTTTGAACCTCTGTTTTTGCAGGAAGATGACTTTCTGTAACCATGCAATGTATATTCAACTTGTCATAGAAGTTAACTCTTTAAAAAATTTGGATGCTCTTTATTTCTTTATCTTGGTCTGATTGCTCTGGCTAGGACTTTCAGCACTATGTCCAATAACAGTGGTGAAAGTGGACATCCTTGTCTTGTTCCAGACTTAGAGGAAAGGCTTTTAGTTTTTCCCTGTTCAGCATGATACTAGCTGTGGGTCTCTCATATATGACTTTTATTATGTTGAAGTAAGATGTTAACATTTTATGTATAGTAGAAAATGTCTGCGCTTGGATGCCTATACTGCCTTTGTAACCAGGGAAAAGGCTCTGGTCTCCAATACAAATAGGCTTTGGGAAAGGATCTTTGCAAAAGTGAAAAATCTAGGGAGTCTGTTTTCCTTTGATACACTGTTCTTTAATTTATCATTTGGCTTATCTCAGAGAACAGAAAACATGATGCCAACTGTGTAAGAGAAGCGGAAATGTATTATTACCTATAAAAGAAAAGTGAAAGAGTAGATATAATTTAGGCATGGCATGGCTGGAGACAGAAAATCAGTGCCATCAGAATATATTTTCCCTGTATCTCTTGTTCCTGTTTCCTCTGCTCTTTAACTTCATTCTTAAAGGGGCTCCCATTTGTTCTTACAAGATTGCTGCCTGTGGCTCTGAGAAAACACATCCCAGGAAAAAAGAGTGACAATCTTTCTCTTAGGATTTCTAGGTAAGGAGCAGAATATCAATGGATCTGTTTTAGGTCATGTGCTGATGCCTGCACTAGTGTCTGTGACCAAGGGACTTCCATCTGTAGATGTGCATAGGCCCAGATTATGTGTTCCACCCCAGATCATGATGAAGTTAACACAAATGAAGACACAACCTTGAGGGTAAGGTTAATCACAAAAAGATAATTGAATGTTAGTTTCTAGAATATGGATGGCTGGATATAGAAACATCAGCAAAAGATGTCTACTCTATTTGATTTTTTCACTCCTTAGTTCCCATACTAGCTACTAACAACACTCATTGTTGCTACAATATTTCTACTTTCTGATGTAAACCTATAGTGGATTTTCAAATCCTAATCTTGCTAACAAATGAAGGAGCCATAGTGTATTTCATCAGGATCTTCAATATATATATAAGGCTAGATACCAGTAAAATGGATGACTTACTCTTTTGCATAAACAAAACAGTAAGTGGAATCAAGAAAAATTTAAAGCCACTATGGCCAGAGACACTGATAGTGAATGTGACCCAAAATTATAGTTAATCAGTGGCAAAATTGAGGGCAAAATTCATGTCTCCTTATTTCCATACCAGCGTCCTTTCTTTCTTTGAGTAGGAATCATCCAGTAGCCTAATACTCCTCCTCTCTCCATGGTCTTTTACTTCTCCAACCACAGAAAGTATAACATCCATTTGCGAATGGTAAAAAACAGCAGTAGGCCTGGGTAACTCAGTGATTCCTTCCTTTGGACTTTGTCTTTTGTAGGAAGGATATTTTCTCTTTTGCTCCATGTCTTTTAATTATATTAATGGGGTAGGGTTTAATTCTGCAGATAGGCCTGCAATTGGTGGTAAGTATAATTTTGGGTAACAAGATATAACAAGATACAACAAGATATAACAGTTGAGTTAACAAGCCCAACTGGTGAAGATAATTTAAACTACCCAAAATGGGAGGAAGATGACTTAAAACAATCAATACATAGAAATGAATATCAGCTCTTTTGTTGTTTATTTGTAATAAATGTGATATTTGGTTCTTGTTAGTTTGATTCCTTTATTTTTGTCTCCCATTTTGTTCGACATTTAAGTACAGCATAGGGATGTTATTTAATTTACATCCTCACACTCCAAAAGAAATACTTTTCTGAATTAAGTAGAAAAAAAGAATAAGCAAGTGTAGGTCCTCTGTTATCCATTAATCACATTTTCCATATTTTTCAAATTCTATATAAAAACCAAATTCCCTAAAGAGAAGAGAAAAAAAAAAAAGAAGATTAGTATCATAAGGAAAGTGAACATTGGTATTGAATGTACTTTTCCTTATCTTCTAAAAGAGGTCCTGAGAAGGGAGCTGCTTTTAAATTCCCTTTACATTCTTCTTTTTTTTTTTTTTCATTTTTCTTGGTTACCACTATAGTTTGTAAATTCTTTCTCCATGTCTTGATTATTCAAAAGGTGTCCTACGACATTTTTTATGTAGAGTTTTTCATCCCCTAATCCATTCCCATCTCAATACCTTTCAGTTCAACATAGAAATACCAGATTTTCTTTTTTTTTTTTTTTTTTTTTTTTACCAAGAGGTAAAAGATAACCACAGCAATAATGCTATGCATAATTCACACAGTTTGCTCTGTGCTCAAATTTTTCACTGTTTTCACACTGTCTATTGATTGTAGTCTAATCCCCTTTCTTGGGCATTTATGTTTCACAGAAGACTAACCTCTTATTTTCCATCTTTACATATTACCATTCTCTAAATACATAATATTTCTTTCAGCATCATATTTGTATTACATCTCTAAAGACACTGCACACTTTCTTGATTCCAAGTGTTTTCCCAGACAGTTGGCACTGTGTAGATTGAACAATCCTTTTTCTTTTTTGTGTTCCATTTCTTTAAAACTCCTTTAGCCCTCTCGTTCTTCAAGAGACTTCCCACGCCAACCCCTATAATCAGGCTCACCTTTGATATATATCTAACGCACTCATTTGGTTCAAGAATGGCAAACATAAATGCTTGGAGCCTAGTGGGTAATATAAATAAGTGATATGAACCACTTCCATTACAAAAGAGAGAGGAAGAACTAGGGTTGTTTGGAACATGTGATCTGCATTTGAACAGGGAGCTACTATGAGGCAGTTGAGGCTTATTTATTGCCTGATAAATCCTTGCTTAGTATCACTAAGCAAGTTTGAAATCTGTATTTTTGGGTAAATTCTATCAATGATTTCAAAACTTATTAAAACATCATTTTTTCCAACAAAACCAAGGTTGCTTTCTATTCTCATCAACTTTGTATGCATATGTTCTTTTTGCCAAATAAGACCACAAGCTTTTTAAGAGTATGGACTGTTTCATGTAATGTTCTCTTTTCTTAGCATATATTACCAGAGTGCTAGACTGAGTAGGCTTGAGGGATTCATTAAGGATAGTGAATATGACTTTATAAATTCTGGCCAAGTCTTGGATTCATCATTATTTTTCAAAGATTTTACATTGTTCACAAGTGGCAGATATCTCTGAGAGCAGTGAGTCCAATTTACCAGGGCTTTTTCCTCAAAACACTGCCAAGAGCAGAGACCAAGGAATTACCCTTCTCCTCCTATCACTCAAAAGAGCATTAGGACTATTCTTCTTGCCCCAAGATATAGAAATGGCATGGAAATTAAGTTTACACATTCAGGTCATATGGAGAATTAAGCAAATATGCATGTCACTGCACCATTCCTGCCACTGGAATTAATTTTCTGTGTTCCAGAATAAGATATGTTTGATATGAACTGTGCTCATATTGGCTACAATGTTACTGAACAGTTTTTAACTATTTTAACCAGCAGGGCTCTTAATTTATTCTTAGACTGAGAAATAAAAACTAGAGTGGTCACAGTACATCTCTCAGAGTTACAAGGTAGATAGGAAGGAAAGAAGGAAAGAGGGAGAGAGGGAGGGAGGGAGGAAGGAAGGAAGGAAGGAAGGAAGGAAGGAAGGAAGGAAGGAAGGAAGGAATTACTACACCAGGAATTATTACCAACTTCTGGAGGATGACTTAGAAGCCCAAGGAAAAGAAAGTAGGAAGGAAAAATGGAAGGAAGGAAGGAAGGAAGGAAGGAAGGAAGGAAGGAAGGAAGGGGAAGGGAAGGAGGGAGGGAGGGAGAAAGGAAATGGAGGGAGGGAGGAAGGGAGAGAGAAAGGAAACAGATGGAGGGAGGGAGGGAGGAAGGAAGGAAGGAGGAAAGAAGGAAGGAAGGAAGGAGGGAAGGAAAGGGAGGGAGGAAAGAAGGAAGCAAGGGAAGGCAGGAAGGTTTCAGTTAACCTTTAAGTTAACTGAAAGGAAAGGGAGGGAGGGAGGGAGGAAGGAAGGAAGGAAGGAAGGAAAGGGAGGGAGGGAGGAAGGAAGGAAGGAAGGAAGGAAGGAAAGGGAAGGAGGGAGGAAAGAAGGAAGCAAGGAAGGCAGGAAGGAAAGGAAGGAAGAAAGGAAGGAAGGAGGGAAGGAATTGATGAAGGAATACAGGAAGGAAGAGAGGAAGGGAAGGGAGGGAGGAAGGAAGGAAAGAAGGGATTGTTTCTTTAACCTCTTCCCCGTTTTTGCCAAAGATATCTGAGGCCTGATATTTGAGCTGCTAACACTGCTCTGTGAGGTTATGGCCTCCTCACATTTCCTACATGAGCCTGAAAGGAATCTCAGAATGATCTTTGTGGGAAGTTGTGAAGTAATAGTCCAGCAGATCAAGGCCCACACTGCGTGTCTGCCTCATTCTATGTGATTTTCCAAAGGCCAGGGCATTATGAGGGAGACCCTCTTACACTGCTCTTTTTAGTAGTGTGTGTACAAACACCACAGAGTATAACAGAAATATTACATGGAAGAGCTACAAAGACATTTCCAAGTCTCTTTTCTGACTATTTCATTCCTAAGAAACCAACAGTAACCACATTAGGAAGGAAGGATAATGTAACTTAATTATTCTATATAGTCTGGTAACACTCCTGAATTCTAGTTCATCTTTGAATGAGAGCAGTAGCGCCAACAGTAGAGACCTGGTTAACTTACATTTATACATTTACATTCTTTTTCGTTAAAGGACATTTCAATTATCCTCTGAAATGGAATAATCCTCATGGAAGGGCAACATGATACTAGAAGCTCATGAGGATTATTTTCAAAGAAAGCTGTGCAGAAGAGTTGGCTCAGCAGGCTTGGCATGCTCAAACCAGCTCCTGGCAGATAACCTACAAGCCCTTGGAATATTCTGTGCAATAGGGTATGTGTGTATATCTAGGACCTGGGTCTGCCAAAGAGTTTATGCTTGCCATGAAATTTCTAATGAACACCTGTTGTTGTTTACCTAGGGTCCTGAACCACTCTATGCCAATTTGATCTCTGGCTGGGCAGGAGCTGGAGATTAAGTATTTAAGATCAGCGATGTAGGTGTTCTGTGCCTACCTGACTAACCCCCATTAAACAGTCTGAACACCACATCTTGGGTGAGCTTCCCTGGTAAGCAATGCTTCATGTGTGTTGTCATGGTACCAGGGAGAATTAGGTATCACTTCTGTGAGTCCACTGGGAGAAGACAGCTGGAAACGTGTGCCTGCTCTCTCGGGGACTCCACCTCATGCATCTGTGGTCTTTGCTGATTTTAGTTTGTATCCTTTCATTGTAATAAACAGTTACCATGAATATAACAGCCCTTCTGAGTTTTATGAGTCCTCCTGAATCCTCAAGCCTGAAGATAGTCTTGGGGATCCCCAACAGAGAAGATCTCACAGGTCATGAAGAAGTTAACTGACAAGACAGGACTAATCTGTGAAAAGAATTTTGAATGGAGCTAAATATATATTATAAGGAATATTATTGATTCTTTAGTCTAAATTTCCTACTGAATTTATTGGAAAGGCAAAAACAATATGAAAAGTTGACCGTCAATTTTTATACATGTGAGAACACAAAACCCCTTTGCTACTTGTGTGTGTATCTATACCTGCATCTATGTTTATACCTTTGTCTATGTCTATAGCTGCATCTGCATCTGCATCTTTTTCTATGCCTCTTAATAGCTACCAAACACTGATAGGTGCTATTCATAGGTTTGTCAATGTGACATATAAAAAAAGTTGAGTTTTTAAAAAATAACTAGATTTCCATTCATTCCTTGAATATAATCTATAGATTACTCACAAATATAATCTCTGTACAGTTCTCCCAAAACATTATGTAAGCCTTTTTTCTTTTTTAAATGATTCAACTTTGAATATTAACTAAATTCTAGGAGACTTTCTTTCTTCACTCTGTCTGTAGTCTGTCCCCAGTTTTTGTAAATAATACAGGCTATTTTTTTTTAAAAAAAGTATACATCAGTAAAACCCAATTCCTTGACTAAGTTTCTTTGAAATTTCTGTGAAGAAGTAGAGGCAAAAAGTAATGGCAGTTTATTCTGTACTTACCACTGCTCAACACAAAAGAAACACTCATTCTGGAAAGTGCGGCCATTTGAGGCACAAACAGGTGCTATTACATCAGGGCAGTCTACATCGTAAAATGGTTCCGGTGGTTGATACATTTTACATGGGGGCTGCAAGTACATGATACCATAAATAACAAATAATAGATTCTCTTCCATCTATTTCTTCCTGTCACTTCTGCCCAACTTAAAAATAATATTAAATCATAACAGTCAATTAATCTTATCAAGGATTCCCTGTGCTGTGGTCTTCTGTCAGGCCAGTTTCTTTTTCTGATTGTAGTGTCCCCACCCATCTTATCATCTCTTCAAGTCATAACCATTTTAATATTCCTGTTTAACCTTGAATGCAAAGTTTTCACTTAGCCTTCATGTTTCAGTTCCAGTAGGAAGTTTATGAGTGGAGATACGTGTGTGTTTGTTAACTTCTAGAGGACAGCCCTCAAGTGTCATTGGTCAGAATAAGGATTTTGTGTTAAAACTTATTAAAACTCTCAGGCAAGATGGCTGAATAGGAACAGCTCTGTTCTGCAGCTCCCAATGAGACCAATGCAGAGGTGGGTGATTTCTGCATTTCCACCTGAGGTACCTGACGCATCTCATTGGGACTGGTTAGATAGTGGGTACAGCCCACAGAGGGTGCACAGAAGCAGAGTGGGGCGTCACCTCACCTGGGAGGTGCAAGGGGTCAGGGAACTCCCTCCCCTAGCCAAGGGAAGCCATGAGAGACTGTGCTGTGAAGGACAGTGCTATCCAGCCCAGATACTATGCTTTTCCCACAGTCTTCGCAACCTGCAGACCAGGAGATTCCCTTGGGTGCCTACCGCACCAGGGCCCTGGGTTTCAAGCACAAAACTAGGTGTCCGTTTGGGCAGACACTGAGCTAACAGCAGGAGTTTTTTTCAACCCCTGAGGTGCCTGGAACACCAGCGAGACAGAACTGTTCACTCCCGTGGAAAGGGGGCTGAAGTCAGGGAGCCGAGTGGTCTTGCTCAGCAGGTCCCATCCCCACAGACCCCAGCAAGCTAAGATCCACCAGCTTGAAATTGTCGGTGACAGCACAGCAGTCTGAAGTTGACCTGGGACACTCAAGCTTGGTGAGGGGAGGGGCGTCCGCTATTACTGAGGCTTGAGTAGGCGGTTTTCCCCTCACAATGTAAACAAAGCCGCTGGGAAGTTCAGACTGGGTGGAGCCCACTGCAGCTCAGCAAAGCTGCTGTAGCCAGACTGCCTCTCTAGATTTCTCCTCCCTGGGCAGGGCATCACTGACAAAAGGCAGCAGCCCCAGTCAGGGGCTTATAGATAAAACTCCCATCTCCCTAGAAGAGAGCCCCTGGGGGAAGGGGCTGCTGTAGATGCATCTTCAGCAGACTTAAAGGTTCCTACCTGCTGGCTCTAGAAAGAGCAGTGAATCTCCCAGCACAGTGCTTGAGCTCAGCTAAGAGATAGACTGCCTCCTCAAGTGAGTCCCTGAGCCCCGTGCCTCCCGATAGGGAGACACCTCCCAGCAGGGGTCTACAGACACCTCCAAGAAGAGAGTTCTGGCTGGCATCTGGCAGGTGCCACTCTGGTACAAAGTTTCTGGAGGAAGGAGCAGGCAGCAATCTTTACTGTTCTGCAGCCTCTACTGTTGATAACCAGACAAACAGTGGCTGGAGTGGACCTCCAGCAAACTCCAGCAGACCTGCAGAAGAGGGGCCTGACTGTTAGAAGGCAAACTAACAAATGGAAAGCAATAGTATTAACATCAACCAAAAGGATGACCATGCAAAAACTCGATCTGAAGGTCTCCAACATCAAAGACCAAAGGTAGATAAATCCATGAAGATGAGGAAAGCCAAAAAGGCTTAAAATTTCAAAACTCAGAATGCCTCTTCCCCTCCAAAGGATCACAACTCCTTGGCAACAAGGAAGCAAAACTGGATGGAAAATGAGTTTGACAAATTGACAGAAGTAGGCTTCAGAAGGTGGGTAATAGCAAACTCCTCTGAGTCAAAGGAGTGTGTTCTAACCCAATGCAAGAAAGCTAAGAACATTGATAAAAGGTTACAGGAACAGCAGTAACCTAGCATAACCAGTTTAGAGGAGAACATAAATGACCTGATGAAGATGAAAAACACAGCATGAGAACTTCATGAAGCATACGTAAGTATCAATAGCCAAATCAATTAGCAAACAAAAGGATATCAGAGATTGAAGATCAACTTAATGAAATAAAGTGTGAAGACAAGATTAGAGAAAAAAGGATGAAAAGGAATTAACAAAGCCTTCAAGAAATATGGGACTATGTGAAAAGACCAAACCTACGTTTGACTGCTTTACCTGAAAGTGATGGGGAGAATGGAACCAAGTTGGAAAACACACTTTAGGATAATATCCAGGAGAACTTCCCCAACCTAGCAAGACAGGCCAACATTCAAATTTGGGATAAACGGAGAACACCACAAAGATACTCCTGAAGAAGAGCAACCCCAAGAGACTTAATTTTCAGATTCACCAAGGTTGAAATGAAGGAAAAAATGTTAAGGGCAGCCAGAGAGAAAGGTCAGATTACCCACAAAAAGAAGCCCATCAAACTAACAGTGAATCTCTCTGCAGAAACTCTACAAGCCAGAAGAGAGTGGGAGTCAATGTTAAACATTCTTAAAGAAAAGAACTTTCAACCCAGAATTTCATATCCAGCCAAACTAAGCTTCATAAGGGAAGGAGAAATAAAATCCTTCACAGACAAGCAAATACTAGGGATTTTGTCACCACCAGGCCTGCCTTACAAGAGCTCCTGAGGGAAGCACTAAACATGGGAAGGAAAACTGGTATTAGCCACTGCAAAAACATACCAAAATGTAAAGACTATCAACACTATGAAGAAACTGCATCAACTAATGGGCAAAATAACCAGTTAGCATAATAATGCCAGGATCAAATTTACATATAACAATATTAACCTTAAATGTAAATGGGCGAAATGCCCCAATTAAAAGACACAGACTGGCAAATTGGATAAAGAGTCAAGACCCATCAGTGTGCTGTATCCAGGAGACCCATCTCATGTGCAAAGACACACATAGACTCAAAATAAAGGGATGGCAGAAGATTTACCAAGCAAATGGAAAGCAAAAAAAAAGTAAGGGTTGCAATTCTAGTCTCTGATAAAACAGACTTTAAACCAACAAACACAAAAAGAGACAAAGAAGGCCATTACATAATGGTAAAGGAATCAATGCAACAAGAAGAGCTAACTATCCTAAATATATATGCACCCAATATAGGGGCACCCAGATTCATAAAGCAAGTTCTTAGAGACCTACAAGGGGACTTACACTCCCACACAATAATAGTGGCAGACTTTAACACCCCAATGTCAGAAGATTGATGAGACAGAAAATTAACAAGGATATTCAGGACTCGAACTCAGTTCTGGACCAAGTGGACCTAGTAGACATCTACAGAACTTTCCACCCCAAATCAACAAAATATATATTCTTCTAAGCACCATATCACACATATTCTAAAATTGAACACATTATTGGAAGTAAAACACTCCTCAGCAAATGCAAAAGAAGGGAAATCATAACAAACAGTCTCTCAGACCACAATGCAATCAAATTATAACTCAGGATTAAGAAACTCACTCAAAACTGCACAACTACACGGAAACAGAACAACCTGTTTCTGAATGGCTACTGGGTCAATAACAAAATTAAGGTAAAAATGAAGATATTCTTTGAAACTGATGAGAACAAAGACACAACGTAACAGAATCTATGGGATACAGCTAAAGCAGTGTTTAGAGGGAAATTTATAGCAATAAATGCCCACAGGAGAAAGTGGGAAAGATCTAAAATTGACACCTTAACATCACAATTATAAGAACTAGAGAAGCAAGAACAGACAAATTCAAAAGCTAGCAGAAGGCAAGAAATAACTAAGATCAGAGCAGAACTGAAGGCGATAGAGACTCAAAAACCCCTTCAAAAAATCAATGAATCTAGGAGCTGGTTTTTTGAAAACAGACTGCTAGCCAGACAAAGAAGAAAAGAGAGAATAATGAAATAGACACAATAAAAAATGATAAAGGGATATCACCACCAATCCCACAGAAATACAAACTACTATCAGAGAATACTATAAACACCTCTATGCAAATAAAGTAGAAAATCTAGAAGAAATGGATAAATTCCTGGACACATACATCCTCCCAAGACTAAACCAGGAAAAAGTCGAATCCCTAAATAGACCAATAATAAGTCCTGAAATAGAGGCAGTAATTAATAGCCTACCAACCAAAAAAAGCCCAGGACCAGATGGATTCACAGCTGAATTCCACCGGAGGTACAAAGAGGAGCTGGTACCATTCCTTCTGAAACTGTTCCAAACAATAGAAAAAGAGGGACTCCTCCCTAACTCATTTTATGAGTCAGCATCATCCTGATACCAAAACCTGGCAGAGTCACAAGAAGAAAAGAAAATTTCATGCCAAGATCCCTGATGAACATGGATATGAAAATCCTCAATAAAATACTGGCAAACCGAATCCAGCAGCCCATCAAAAAGCTTACCCACCATGATCAAGTTGGCTTCATCCTTGCGATGCAAGGGTCGTTTAACATATGCAAATCAATAAACACAGTCCATCACATAAACAGAACCAATGACAAAAACCACATGATTATCTCAATAGGTGCAGAAAAGACTTTCAATAAAATTCAAAACCCCTTCATGCTAAAAACACTCAATAAACTAGGTATTGATTGAATGTATCTCAAAATAGTAAGTGCTATTTATGAAAAACCCATTGCCAATATCATACTAAATGGGCAAAAGCTGAAAGCATTCCCTTTGAAAACCAGCACAAGGCAAGGATGTCCTCTTTCACCACTCCTATTCAACGTAGTATTAGAAGTTCTGATCAGGGCATTAAGGCAAGAGAAAGAAATAAAGGGTATTCAAATAGGAAGAGAGGAAGTCAAATTATCTCTGCTTGCAGATGACATGATCATAGATTTAGAAAATTACATCACCTCAGCCCAAAAATTCCTTAGGCTGATAAGCAACTTCAGCAAAGTCTCAGGATACAAAATCAATGTGCAAAAATCATAAGCATTCCTATACACCAATAATAGACAAACAGTGCCAAATCATGAGTGAACTCCCATTCACAATTGCTACAAAGAGAATAAAATACCTAGGAATACAACTTACAAGGGATGTGAAGGACCGCTTCAAGGAGAACTACAAACCACTGCTCAAGGAAGTAAGAGAGAATGCAAACAAATGGAAAAACATCCTATGCTCATGGATAGGAAGAATCAATATTGTGAAAATGGCAATACTGCCCAAAGTAATTTATAGATTCAGTGCTATTCCCATCAAGCTACTGTAGACTTTCTTCACATAATTAGAAAAAAATACTTTAAATTTCATATGGAACCAAAAAAGAGCCCATATAGCCAAGACAATTTTAAACAAAAAGAACAAAGCTAGAGGCATCATACTACCTGACTTCAAACTATACTATAAGGCAACAGTAACCAAAACAGCTATATAGACTAATGGAACAGAACAGAGGTCTCAGAAATAACATCACACATCCACAACCATCTGATCTTTGACAAATTTGACAAAAACAAGCAATGGGGAAAGGATTCCCTATTTAACAAATGGTATTGGGAAAACTGTCTAACCATATGCCAAAAACTGAAACTGGATCCCTTCCTTACACTTCAAACAAAAATTAACTCAAGATGGATTAATGATTTAAATGCAATACCTAAAACCATAAATTCCCTAGAAGAAAACCTAGGCAATACCATTCAGGACACAGGCATGGGCAAATACTTCATGACTAAAAAACACCAAAAGCAATTGGCAACAGAAGCCAACATTGACAAATGGGATCTAATTAAACTAAAGAGCTTCTGCACAGCAAAATAAACTATCATCAGAGTGAACAGGCAACCTACAGAATGGGAGAGAATTTTTGCAATCTATCCATCTGACAAAGGGTTAATATCCAGAATCTACAAGGAACTTAAACAAATTTACAAGAGAAAAAACAACCTCATCAAAAAGTAGGCAAAGGATATGAACAGACATTTTTCAAAAGAAGACATTTTTCAAAAGAAGACATTTATGTGCCAACAAACATATGAAAAAAAACTCATCATCACTGGTCATCAGAGAAATGCAAATCAAAACCACAATGAGATACCATCTCAACCATTAAATCCCATAAAAATAAACAGCACTCGGTGCCGTGCTCGACACTGTTACTCCCACACTTGTTGGGACCAAGTGAACAAGTGAGGATAAAACCTGAGAACGCACTTGTACTAAAAATAAAAAATAATGACCCCAATTGCGGGTGCCTTAGTCCACATCACTGAGCAGCAAATGTGTGAACCGGAGGTGTGCTTCGCATAAGCCGAGAATGTGCACTGTCTCTCCCAGCCTGGGTGAAGAGCGAAACTCTGTCCAAAAAAAAAAAAAAAAAAAAGAAAAAAAAGAAAATGTCAGAAACAACAGATGCTGGAAGAGGATGTGGAGAAAGAGGAATGTTTTACACTGTTGGTGGGAGTGTAAATTAGTTCAACCATTGTGGAGGACAATGTGGCAAGTCCTCAAGGATCTAGAACTAGTAATACTATTTGACATAGCAATCTCTTTACTGGGTATATACCCAAAGGAATATAAATCATTCTACTATAAAAACACATGCACACATATGTTTATTGTAGCACTATTCACAATAGCAAAGACTTGGAACCAACCCAAATGCCCATCAATGAGAGACTGGATAAAGAAAATGTGGCACATATACACCATGGAATACTATGCAGCCATGAAAAAGAATGAGTTCATGTCCTTTGCAGGGCATGTGTGTAGCTGGAAACCATCATTCTCAGCAAATTAACACAGAAACAGAAAACCAAGCACTACATATTCTCACTCATAAGTAGGAGTTGAATAATGAGAACACAAGAACACATGGAGGGGAACATTACACACTGGGGCCTGTTGTGGGAACGGGGACAAGGGGAGGAATAGCATTAAGAGAAATACCTAATGTAGATGATGGGTTGATGGGTGCGGCAAACCAACACTGCACATGTATACCTAGGTAGCAAACCTGTATGTTCTGCACATGTATCCCAAAACTTATTAAAACTGAGAATAAACCCTGTATTTACCACTGTTTAGCTTTGTGAGTCTGAACACATGGAAGGTATTATTTTACTTAATGCTCAGAGATATATTTACTCAATATTTTATTTCACTATAAAGATATTTATTTTACTAAAATATTATATTTTAGTAAATATGGCACATATACACCTCCCTGTGTTCATGTGTTCTCATTATTCAACTCCCACTTATGAGTGGGAATACGTGGTGTTTGGTTTTCTGTTCCTGTGTTAATTTGCTGAGAATGATGGTTTCCAGCTCCATACATGTCTCTGCAAAGGACATGAACTCATTCTTTTTCATGGCTGCATAGTATTCCATGGTGTATATGTACCACATAGTAAAGCTTGTGCTACATGGAGACAGTCTAATTCTGGAGAGGTCTATGTGCAAGGTCACATAGAATCCTTCCATTCTGCTTTACCTCCATGCAGATTTATTTATTTATTTATAGACAGGGTTTCACTCTGTTGCCCAGGCTGGAGTGCAGTGGTGCCATTATGGCTTACTGCAGTTTCCAACTCCTGGCCTCAAGTGACCCTCCCAACTCAACCTCCCATGTAGCTGGCTATAGGCTTGACCCACCACACCTGGCTAATTTTTGTATTTTTTTAGACACAAGATCTTGCTATGTTGCTCTGGCTGACCTTGATCTCCTGGGCTCAAGTGATCCTCCCGCCTCAGCCTCCCTAAGTTCTGGAATTACAGGCATGAGCCACTATGCCTGACTTTCCATGAAGTTTTAGATCTCATGTCAAGAGCGTGATTAGACTAGAATTACGATCTAGAACTGTGAATTTTAAACTTACCTTAGGCCATTTAGTGAAGTCGTGTTTTTTGAAAATTGCTGCAAATAAAGAACAAACACAGTAAGTTAAAGGAAATAGTTCTCCATGGGATATCATATCACCTATTGAAGTCACTGACTGAATAACGTAATTTCTCATTTACAAAAATGTATACAAAATAATTTTAATAACAATAGAATTTGCAGTAACATTCCTTTTTAAATTACTTTATCCATTTATTCTTTCTTTTTCACAGTCTTGATTTTATTTATAAATTTGCTGTATCAGTAAGGAAAGAGTAAAAACTGTTTGAGGTTGTATATATAACTTACAAATAATTTTATTTATTTATTTTCACTTTTGTTGGCTTTAGCTTCCTCTTCACTGCAATTGGGTTAATTACACGCATTTTTAAAATTTAGAAAATAAATATGATATAGTAAGTAATGTATCAGGCCAGTTCCTACCAAGATGCCGAATTAAAGTGGACACAGGGATGATAAGAAAACTGAGGGAGTTCGCTGGCTTTCAGGATACTGACTTTATGGGGTGCTTGTATGAGGGTTGCTGGTGTTGCCTGGGATAGAGGGTTACTAGCTGCCCGTGGGAAAATGAAATAAGAAAGTACTTATTGTATTTTGGTCTTACTTATCTGTCACTGTTAAGTGATATTTAAAATATAGTTAGAATTTTCAAAAGTTAAGAGGAAAATTCTGCATGATATTTAGAAATCTTCTCACAAAGAAAGACTACCAACCTTTTGAGGAATAGGTCTTGCTGATTACATGTACACCCTTTCAGAGAACAAAAAAGATAGAATGCTTTTATCTACTTCTGAAAGGTCAGAATATTTTTACGACAAAGGTAACTGGATATAGTTACAAGAAAAAAAAATAAAGGTCTTCATCTAGTAAAAATGAAACAAAATTACATGTATATACTGCACATCATGCATAAGAATTAATTCCAAATGAATCAGGATCTAAACATAAAAAATAAAACTATATAATAATTAAAATGACATAATTTTTTAATTATAATGATTCATTAATCTAAATACAATAACAGAAAACACAGATGCATTTTTTTACTTAAAAATTAAAACAACTTCCTGGCAAAAAATAAACATACAATCTAAAAAGATTTTTGATAAAGGGCTAATATGTCTAATTTATAAAGAACTCATTAAAATTGAGGGAAGAATAAAACAAGAAACCTAACTGAAGAACAGACAATATACATGCAAATATAATTTACACAAGTATACATACTCAAAAAGATACAGAAATGACCCTTGAATCTCTAAAGGAAATTCAGCCTTACTCATGCTAAGAAAAATGCTAATTAAAACTATATGGAAATACCATTTATCACCGATCAGATTAGCTGTTGAGAAAGAGGTTCCTGGTGGGAATCCAAATGGGAAGAATGTTTATGAAGTAAAATTTGACAATATTGAACAAAACTCTATTTGCATTTACTCTTATTCCATGCTTTTGCAAAATGTGAGCCTACAAATTAGAATTCAATGTATAAATGACTTTTTTGTCTTCAGAGTAAGAGTATATAGTTCAGCTAATAGACTCAAAGATAAGTTGGGTTAGTTCCATTCCTCCCATTTTGGTGTAAACATATTTTTCTTTTAAAATATGGCTTACTTAATTTGTTAAAGACAGACCTGAAGTTTCGGTACTTGTGATTTCTGGTGTGGATCCTGAGAACAGGAAGTATTGGCATCCTAAAGGTCTGACATTTGCATAACAGATTGGCATAAAGATAAAAAATAGATCAGTGAAAAGGATAGAGTCCAGAAATATAGGCATCTAAGAAGTTCAAAAATACACACTTCTGTGGACAAGTGCTTTTTGGCAAAGGTGAAAGAACAATTTAGTGGAAAAAGAATCATCCTTTCCACAAATCACACTAAAACAACTGGGCTTCTGGAAGGAAAACAAAAAAAGAATCTCAATTTATATATTGCACTATCATCTGAAACATTTTTTATTATCTAATACTTTTTAAATTTTAGTTTTCTAATGAAAAGTTATTAGTTCATGCAGCAACTTTGGAGAACCATCTGGCATTATCTTCTAGTATAGAAAATTCACACACATTGTAGCATAGCAACTCTACTCTTAGATACATACCTAAGAGAAACTCTTGTTCATGTGCATCAAAAAACATGTGTAAGAATATTTCTACCAGCTCTGCCCTTAACATCATAAATTTGTAAGTAAACCAAATGTCCATCAACAGAAGAGTAATGAAATTAGGGTATAGTCGCACGTTGGGATATTATTCATTGGTGTGATATTATTCATCAATGAAACTAAATGAACAACTGCACAGAGGAAGATGTATAAATTTAAACAGTAGGTAGGAAAAAGCAAATCTCAAAAGATGAAAAGATTCTCTTATGTAATATTGAATTAAAAAGTCCTAATAATAGGCAGGGCATGGTGGCTCACGCCTGTAATTCCAGCACTTTGGGAGGTTGAGGTGGGCGGATCACGAGGTCAGGAGATTGAGACCATCCTGGCTAACACGGTGAAACCCCGTCTCTACTAAAAATACAATAAAATTAGCCGGGCATGGTGGCGGGCGCCTGTAGTCCCAGCTACACGGGAGGCTGAGGCAGGAGAACGGCGTGAACCCAGGAGGCGGAGCTTGCAGTGAGATCGCACCACTGCACTCCAGCCTGGGCGACAGAAAGAGACTCCGTCTCCAAAAAAAAAAAAAAAAAAAAGTTGTATATGACAAGTTATATAAATGTTACATAAATGTTAAAATAATTATAAAAATATATTTTCCATGATGTGTATAAATAAAAGACTATATTAAAAATAAGAGCACGAGAAGAATGGACATAAGATTTAGAATGACTGAAACTGAAGTAAGAATTTTGGGAAAAAATAAATTAAAAAAAGATGTAGAAGTGTGTTTTTATTGGATGAAGATAGACAAGAGAATTGGATCACTGAATACTACATTATTGGATTTGAGCTTTTGTTGGTAGTCTAGAGTTTTGCAGGAATTATATATTCATGGTGCTTTTTGATTGAACCCAATGGAATTTATTGAACCAAGTATTGTGATTAATCCAATTCTATCCAACTGAGGCATATTTAAAATAATAAAGTATATTACAGAGAACCTACACACAGCAGGCAATCAATTGATAATAGCTACATTTTTAAACATTCATTTATTGAGTATTTACTTTGTATCATGTATTTAAGGATGATCTGGAAATGCAAACATGAGGTTGTACTGTCTGCTTTACTAATTTGTAACTGATTTGCAGGTGTACTATTTTCTTATTGCTGTTGTAATGAATTGTCACAAATGTAGTGACTTAAAACAACACAAATTTATTCTCTTACAATTCTGGAGGTTAGAAGTCCTAAAGTCAAGATGTCAGCAGTGATGCATTCCTCCTGGAGTTTCTAGGGAAGAATTAATTTCCTTACCTTTTCTAGCTTCTACAGGCTGTCTGAGTTCCTTGGCCCATGGCCCTTTACTGCACCATTCTAACTTCTGCTTCCATCGTCACATCTTCTCTGACTTGGGCCCTCCTGCCTCCCTCTGATAAGAATCCTTGTGATTATATTGTTCCACCTGAATAATCCAGTATTAGTTTTCAATCTTAGGATCCTTAACTAAATTACATCTGCAAAGCCCCCTGTGCCATGCAAGGCAACATATTCACAGGTTCAAGTGATTAGGACTTGGACATTTTGGGGAGGCATTATTCCCTCTATAATCAGCAGGTAACACAGGTTTTGTTTTTATACATTCATGATTTTTACTATTGAACTCTAAAGACACATGTCAACCCAACATCAATCACAGAAATAGCTTTTATTTTTCATTGGCTTATTTTTCATTTTCATGTTTATCATATCACTTATCATATTTGAAAGCCATAAGAAAATGCATCATTTTTTCTAGGAAAAAATAACAATTGTAGTGTATATTGCTTACAATAAAAAATATCACAATTTTCTCTGCTCTCGAGGATTTCTTTTGGATCGACAGAATAGACACGAAGTTGTGACTCCACCATGTAGAAAACAAGTTTGATTTTTCTATTTAAGAATATATATTTTAATTATACCCAATTTGGACTATACTGGCTTACATTTCAGCAAAATATTTCCCATAAAAGTCAAAAATTACTCGTTTTCTTTCCTATAACTTTAAGAAAATCAGAGTTTATCTCCCAAAACCTCTTAGGTTACTCACCTGAGGAAACCATATGTGTCAAAGTAGAGGATATCAGGAAAAATATAATCTTGTGGGGAAAGGCAGCCATTTGATCTCATATAGCACTCTTCTTTGATAAGGCCTGTGAACATGCCCAAGATTCTTTGTTTTTAGTTTCCTGCACAGCTAGCTTTTCCAATGTGAGAGAACACAATACCCTGTGGTGATACCATTCCCGTACACTTGCCCTGGTGGTTCTTATACTGACATGGTCTCCAGGAACTCAGGCCTGAGACCCCTTTTTCTTTCTAGAGGAAAATGAAAAACATAAAAACATGACTTTTTTTTTTTTTTCTGCCAAAACCTAGCTGACAATCACAGTTCTGGCCTGGGAGAAAAATTGAGCTCAAGATTCATCAGGGTTGACTCAAATTCTATCACCTATACATAGGTTCACCCTACAATTATTTAATTATCTCACAGTTAATTACCTAAGCTACTGCCTTCTTATTAGTGAACACAAACATGTAAAGAATTCATAAGAATTCTGAGGTAACAGGTGTAAACTGAGGGCTGTCCTGTACAGTCTTGGACCTATCACCCTATAACATGTGATTCCCTGGGATGGACCACTTTCTCCCACATTTAAGCCCTTTATTTCCCAGCTAAATTTCTCTTTGCCAGGTCAGTCACATGGGCTCAAATATAAAGAATGGGTTAAAAATGGAATCGTTGGTTATGCTTAATACAAATTGTGTATACCTTCCCTGATGCAAGAATCAGGAAAAAAAAAATGTGACATATGACCTTGAATTGAGTGAGATGCTAGAAATCACAGAGTTTGGAGTTAGATGGGAGTTCAGATTCTTGGTTTAACGTCTCTGAGAAGCGTAGGCCTCAGAAAGTATGAACTTCATAGGATGTTGAAAGAATCAACTGGTATTAATATAAGCAGAGTTTAAACATATTAAATTGATAATTTGTTTAGCCCAACTTTTCTTTGCTGTGAGTGAAATATTTAGGCCCAGGGAGAAGATACCTTCCCAGTCCATTTCCTTAACTTGCTCACGCCCTATTCTATCCCTTCTGTCTGCTTTCAAAATTGTAGCGAGGCATATAGAGAAATGAAGGAGAATCATAAATAAGCATGACATTTTCTCCACTTTAATATGCAGAGGAAACAAAAGGAGGGTATTAGAGGGAAGAGAGGGAAATGTACTGACAGAGAGGAAAGCTGAAGAGACCCCACCACTGACTTAGACTAAGGAGAGAGAAATCAAAGAGTAGTTACCTGGATGAGGTGGCTGAAGATGGGCCTGCTCTTGTCACTTTGGGTGTCACAACTAGCCTTCAGAAGAGCTGCTGTTCCAGAAGTCTGTAGCCAAGGACATGCAGCAGTGGGGGCTGACTCATTGCATAGCTGAGTGACCAACTGCTTGGCATGAGTTTACTCTAATGGCTGTTTCTGAGTTTGATCCCTCTCCTGAACCACCCCCTCTGATGTGTCTTGTTCCAGCAGGAAGAGACAGACCTGGAGGTTCTGTACTTGTGATTTCTGGTTGTGGATCTTGAGAACAAGAAGTACTGGGATCCTAAAGTTCTGACATTTGCAAAGCAGATTAATGACCTACCACATTCCAGATCATTTGGTGATTTTGTGTGTGTGTGTGTGTGTGTGCGCGCACACACCAATTTCAAGGTGGTTCCAGCCTTTCTAGTCTTCTCTGACCCTTCTTCTCAGAAGTCAGACCTGTTCTGTCTTTCTAGGATATAATTTTTGTTTTTCTATTAGCCTGGGTAACTCCCCAACCAATAAGGTTTGCAATATCCAAGCCTCCTAATTTATCTACTTATTAGCTTATATGACGCTTCAGCATAAGCAAGCCTAAAAACTTGCCATTATCTGGAAAAGTTCTATTTCACAGGCTTTAAACTCTCCTAGAGTAGTTAGTACTCTTTTATGGCTTTGTGTTCCCGTACTAGCTTGAATTCCATAGTCTGACATTAATATTTAGCTCCTTGACATGTCCATCCTCTCTTGATGTCCTGTTCTCTATTTTTCCTTCTTTCTTCCAAGTTGGGATAAATTCAGCTTCTTATTTTCCTGCTCCAGACCTTGGTTGTGGAGAAAGATAGAAAAAGTTCCATACAGGGGACTCTGTGATCCTGATAACATCATTATTTACCTAAACTCTTTAGACTCCAGTGAAAGCTTCTTATTTAATGTCATTTTCCTACCTTATGCCACCTGTCCCATACCATTTTCTTTGTTTTATGCAATTTGTTTCCACTATCTGATCCCATTCCACCCATATGACTTTGAGTGGAAAACTTCATCTCTTAGTTACTGAGTAAACAAGCTTCAGGATGAACAAGCCCTGTCCATTATTTTCCTTTTACTTTAAAATTCTGGAATTTTTATGATCTACCTTTTTTCCCTCTGTTTTTATTCTTCACTCCATATCAACTTACCAAGGGATCTACACCTTCATTCATTCTTTTCATTCTGTCGGCACCTGGCTATAGAGTTTACATTTCTCATCATATTTATTCCTCATAACAATCCTATGAGGTATATACCACTGAGTCTTGTATAAGAGAAAAAGAAACTGAGATAGGGTAACTCAAAGGGATAATTCATTTGCTGAAGCTACCAACTAGCTACTAACCATGCTACAATGGACAGAGATGACATTCATGCCAAAGGCCATGTTCACTTGCTCTCTCTACATTTGCTCTAAATTTAGAAAAAATAATCTCTTCAATTTATCCTCCAACAGTCTTCTTAGAACCCTACCAGGGATGTCTTGTATAACACGTTTCACCTTTCTGGTAAAAAAAGATAAAAATAAAAATAAAAGTACCCCTCTTCCTTTCATTAAATCTTGCTTTTCCCAAAGCCAGTGCTTTTAATCTCTTCAAAATACTGCCTTTTAATTAATTAGAATATAGGCTCTATGAAGGAAAAGGCCTTGCCTATATCTGTTAATAATTTTTACCTTGTAATCACAGTGAAGAGCATTGAATTTGCCACAAGGTAAGTATTCAGTAAACAGATATAAGAAGAAATAGAGTAGTCCACCCATCCTTTTTTTATTCGGTTGTTTACTGTGTTCTTGGATATTTTTAAAAATGTGTTTTCACAGATGACATTGTATCTAGTCCACCAAAAATAAAAATAAAAATAAAAAAACACCTAATTTTGATTAAGGAGTCACATACATTTTGGAAAAGTAACATTTTTATAATGCAGTTCCTTTATATGTGAATATGATGGGCCTTCTTTTTGACTTGCAGGGTAGGTTATCCGTTTTATTTATATACAGATATTACCTCAATGGTGGACACAAAACTAAATACAAATCTGATCTTGTTGCCCTACTCAAGTCCTCCATTGCTTATATTATGGTACTATTATTTATGGTAAATAATATTTATGGTAAATACTATTATGGCTCTTCATTGCTTATATTATGGTACTATTATTTATGGTAATAATACTTGGGTATGAAGAAAGTAACATTTTACTTTGCGTAACTGAAATCAACTTGTTCATTTTACTTAAGGATAAAGTTACCCTCTTTTTTCCCTCGAATAGCAACACACACAATATTCCTTGCATACTTTTCATGTATGTAATGTTGCTTCCCTTCACCCTCATTATTTCTAGTGTTTTTATGCACATATATTGATTATAATGTTTAACCATTAGTAACTGTTCTTTTACAGAGAAAATGAGAAAGTAGATTGTTGTGATTTATCTGTCATATATAATGATTTTAGAGCAGATTAGCAAATTTTATAAATATGCTGTAATAGTGAAATTTTTCAATGTAGAAAAAGATCATGTTTAGTAATTAATAATATTAATATTTCTATAAAAATTATAAGCCAAAATTATGTAAGCTCAAATTTAGGTTTAGCAATGAATGTTTTAGTAGTTTCTTAGCTAGAAATGATCTACGTATTTAATAAATATCCATTATGTAACATAACTTTCAACATTTATTCATGTATCTATTGGCCATTTATGTGTCTTCTTTTAAGAAATCTCTATTCAAGTCCTTTGCCCACTGTTCAGTTGGTTTATTGTTTTCTTGCTATTGATGTGTTTGAGTTCCTAGTATATTTCAAGTTTTAGTCCCTTATCAGATATATGATTTGCAAATATTTTCTCTCATTCCATGTCACTTCACTCTGTTTTATTTTTTATTTTTTATTTTTTATTTTTATTTTTTTCTGTGCAAAGCTTTTTAGTTTGGTATTATCCCATTTGTCTACTTTTGCTTTGGCTGCTTGTGATTTGGGGGTCATATCTAAGAAATTATTATTGTCCAGATCAATGTTACTGAGCTCTTTCTTCCCTCTCTGTTTTCTTCTAGTAGTTTTAGTTTTTGGTATTACATTTAAGTATTTAAAGAATTTTGAGTTGGCTCTTGTATAGGGGATGAGCTAAGGATCCACTTTCATTTCTGTGCATGTGAATGTCTAGTTTTCCCAGCACCATTTATTGAAGAGACTGTTCTTTCCCCATTGTAGATTATTGGCACCTTTGTTGAAAATCACATATGTGTGGGTTTATTTCTGGGCTGTCTATCCTATCTGTTGTTTAGTGTGTCTACTTTTATAGTAGTTCCATGCTGTTTTGATTACTATAGCTTTGTAATATATTTTAAAATTTAATAGCATGGCTCCTCTAGCTTTGTTCTCTTTGATCAAGATTGCTTTGGCTCTTTGAGGTTTCTGTTACTCTATATGAATTTTAGAATTTTTTTTCTACTTCTGTGAAGAATGACATTGGAAGGTTGATAGGGATTGCTTTGCATCTGTAGATTGATTTGGGTACTAAGGATATTGCAACAATATTAATTCTTCGAATCTATGAACATGGGACATTTTTTCATTTACTTGTGTTTAATTTTGTTCATCAATGCTTTATAGTTTTCAGTATACTTATCTTACACTTCTTTGGTTAAACTTACTCCTTGGTATTTTATTATTTGTTTTATGCTATTGTTAGTGAGATTATCTTAGTTTATTTTGTGCTACTATAACAAAGTACCTGAAATAAATTATAAAAAAAATAATTTATTCTCTAATGGTACTAGAGGCTGGGGAGTCAAGGTACTAGCATCTAATGTGGGCTTTCTTTCTCCTTCTACATCCTCACATGGCAGAAGGTGTATGTGTAAAAGTAAATGAACCCATTCCCTGAAGCCCATTTTATCATGGCAATAATCCATTCATGAGGACAAAACCCTCATAACCTAAATGCCTCCCAAAAGGCCACACTTCTCAGCATGGTTACATTGGGAATTAAGTTTTCTACACAGAGTTTGGAGGACACATTCAGACCATGACAAGGATTATTTTCTTGATTTACTTTTTAAACAGTTTGTTGTTAGTATACAGAAACACTACTGATTTTATATGTTGACTTTGTATCCTGTACCCAACTTTACTGAATTTGTTTATCAGTTTTAATATTTTTTTTTTATGAAGTCTTCAGGGATTCTATATATATGATATAGACAATTTTACTTTTTCCTCTCCTATTTGGGTGACTTTTATTTCTTTTCCTTGCATAATTTTCCAGCTAGGGCTTCCAGTACTACACTGAAAATAAATGGTTAAAATGAGTATTGTATCTTGTTCCTGATCTCAGAAGAAAAGCTTTCAGTTTTCACCATTGAGTACACTGTTAGCTGAAAACACAATCATCACTAAAAAATGTTGTTAGCATAATTACTCACTTTGATTAAAATCAGATTTATAAGTTTTATAATATTAAACATCTAGCAAATATAATATTCACTTATTTGGCTAGAAAACCCAAGTAGAATAAAATGTATGTCTCCATTATACTTCATGCTGGCAACTCAGTCACATATCTGCTTTTATTTAGCCAATGCTATCAAATCTGTGTTATTTATCAAAGATTTACACAAATTATATACCCTTGATAAACATTTGGATTAGTTAGTAAATTTCTGGGAGTTTTAAGGAAGTGCTTATTTTTTTGTAAGCCTATTAGCATAGAATTCTTTTTAAGAGATTGATATAGTTTGGCTGTGTTCCCACCCAAATCTCATCTCGAACTGTAACTCTCATAATTTCCTCATGTTGTGGGAGGGACCCAGTGGGAGATAATTGAATCATGGGGGTGGTTTCCCCCAGACTGTTAACGTGGTAGTGAATAAGTCTCATGAGAGCTGATGGTTTTATAAGGGGAAACCCCTTTCACTTGGCTCGCACTCTTTCTCTTTGCCTGCCGCCATCCATGTGAGACATGCCTTTCACCTTCGACCATGATTGTGAGGCCTCCCCAACCACGTGGAACTGTGAGTCCATTAAACCTTTCTTTTGTAAATTGCCCAG